GCAATTGTCTCTTATTCGGAGTAGATTTCAAACATTTTTTTAAATTAAATCAATCAACGTATTTAATTACATTTTTCATTTTGCTCCTAGTATAACCTTACATATATTGCTTAGAATAACAGGCCAAAGGCGATTCTTATAGTAGTATTACACCAATTTGAGACATTTTTCTTCATAGTTTAGTTTTATTTTATGTATATATTTACAGGTACTGATTAATGTATGTTGCAGTCTCAGGGGGGAAAGCATATTTAGGCAAAAGACACCTTTCAAAACCCCTACAGTTATAAATTAGATGATGTGTGATTTGAATCATAGAATGAATCATAGGATGGTTTGGGTTGGAAGAGACCTTAAAGATCATCTAGTTCCAACCCCATTGCATGGGCAGGGACACCTCCCACTAGATCAAGTTGCTCAAGGCCCCATCCAACCTGGTCTGAAATCTATTAGAAATGTATTTAAAGCAAGTATTTAAGACACCATTCTAATGTCATGTGCATAGAGTATATTGTAGAGAACTCAGAATGTGTCATTATTAATAAATCAGAGGTAGAAAAAAAGCAGCAGCATACTTTCCTACATCACACAGAATAAATTGTCTGTACTGTTGATGTTTCAAGGAGTGGTTATATGACAGGTGCACTTTATAAGTTTAGTACAGGCAATACCTCATAAACAGGCCTGCCTTGTGTTTAAGAGACAGTTAGAGGAGCAGAGTTCTTAAATTGTTGATGGCTGCTGTGCTTTGCATACCCTGCTTCCTTCATTTCCGCTTGGCGAACACATTCCCTTTGCTGTACCTTAGTCCTCTGTGTCTGTATGTACGTTTGGGTTTCTGCTGGTGGTTCCACATTCTGCATGCTTTCCTAAAAGCGAAGCAATGTACTTTCCCGTAAATGAGAAAGACTATGGGTTAGCCTCCTGTAGGCTCCGTGTTCCTGAGAAATTGGCTCTTCCTGTTGGTGATAACTCATATTTTTATGTCATTGTTCTGAATTGTTCTTCGTGTTGTAAAATTGAGTTGAAATGTACTCCCATAAGAGTTAGCTTTTCATATTGGGCTGGAAACTCTTCATCTTTGTGTAGCAATTTGTTTTATTATAACCAATGGCTTTTAATTGTACCTCCCATAATGAAGAGCTGACTTAATACTCTGTGCTTATCTTGTTATGACTTTAAAAAGGTAAGTAATTTCTCTAACTGTTCCTAACAGTCATGGTAAAGTGTTAAAGGGTTTTTCAATTTTCTTTTTTTCTTTATTTTTCACATTAATTTTTCATTTGTAGCATGAATTTTTCTTTGTGTCTTTTTCTAATTTTTCATGTACAAAACATTTTTGTGGACTGATTTTTATTTGCAGCAAAACATATCATGTAGATTTAAATAAATCAAATTTAGTACAGTCATATCATTTTTCAGACCAATCATGATTGATAGGTAGAAAATGTCAGCAGAACTCTTTATTTTACCATTCCCTTAATTTATTTTTTAGTACTTTTATTTCACATTCTATTTACAACTTCAGTATATGGGAAAAAGCTTACTCTGCATTCCAGCATGATGAAATTATATCTTAAAGAACATAAAATCCAGCTTGCTTAAAAAACAGAGTAATGTGAATTGAATGCTTTGGGTTTGGTTACATTCTGCCTGAACTACACAGGGGAATGGTACTGGCTGGCAGCCCACTGTATCTTCTGCCAAGGTACATCATGAGCCAAGAGTCTGTAAAATGGACAAACAATAAATCTATACTTCTTCTGTTAAAAGAGAGAGAGCCATAGGTTATTATTTCTGCAACTACCTGTGAATGAGAGTTATAATAAATAATACTACTAATCTCTCAGTAATCAGATCCAGTCAGTCATGGTACTATATGCAGTGGAATATGGATTCTTCACAGTAGCTGTGAAAAGAATACAGATTTTTTGTAAATGTTACAAATAACCAAGTAGTAAAACATAAAATAATGAATATAATAAAAAGCACTTAAAGCACATGACCCCGTTTATACAAAGCTCCATTGCTGCTAAAAATCTATGTGTTAGAAAACTGGTGGGTTTTATTAAAAATCATATTTTACTGAAGTTTTGTTTAAAAATAATATTTAATTTATCAATGTGCAATTCACAGTAAACAAACAGAAGTATTATGTAATAACTAATTTTTATGTCAATTATGTTAAAACATGGTTTGTATTCTGCAGCTGTGAGCATAGGTTGGGAAACAATCAAGTCTAGCTGATCAAGCTTTTTATTTTATTATCATGGATTCCTCTTCCACAGCTGCTTTTAAAATTTGTGGGAAGCAAATTATTTCTCATACTGCATATGTTGCCCATCAGGTGAGTGATAACATGGAAACTTTAGACTGGGTATAAGAAATCAATAAGTAAATTTAAAGTCCTCTGTGTGCACAGAATTTTAAAAAAAGACCTGTAAAGAGGCTGTGTATGAAGCCAGCTGTCTTTTGTTGCCATTGTCATTTGGACACTGTAAGAGCAAAACTTTGTCAGCACGTTTTTTATATTGGAAGATTTGATCTGCAAATCTCAGCTGCTCTGTTCATTATAAATCTCTTGTTTTTGTCCATACACTAGCTCCACTATAGGTTGGAAGGGCTTAAAGATGAACTGAGGAGGAATAGAGGCTACAACTCGAGAGTAACTATTACTGCTCAAAGGAGCTGTTTTCCATTCGCAAACATTGCTTTGCGCTATGGGTTTGGGCTCCTTCTGTTCCTCCACTTTGTTGAAGACTCTCTCTTGACTTCCATTTTACTTCTTTAGCACTGTCTTTGTCTGCTAACATTTTTCCTCCTTCTCTAGTAGCTTTTATCTGTGTCCTTTGGATCACATATTTTACTTACTTTGTTTTAGTAGATTGTTTCAAATGTTTGTGTTTTGTATTTTTTATTTTCTTGCCTTTTTCTTTAGGACTATGTTACCTCACTGAGTTTCATTCCAGTTTGCTGAATCGCTTGGTTATTTTGCAGCAGGCCCATCCCTCGTTTTCTCTTTTCATATGGTTTTCAGTGAGAAATAAGAGAGCCTCTTCCATTTTAAACAGTAGCCTTACACACATAGGCCCATGTCTCTTTTTGCACACACCATCTTCTGCCTTGCCATGTCCATCCTGCTTCTCTCTCTGTCATTCTCAGTCTATGCCTCTCTCTCTTCCGTGCTTTCTATCTTGTCATTATACCATCTTTTTGGTCCAGAATTGTCCTTTGGTAAATTATAGGTAAATATTTGCTCCTTCCAAAGGGAGTTCATGTCTTGTCTTTGAAATCTCATAAAACAACTCTGGGCCAAATTTGGGCACCATTAATATTTTGTTTGCAGTTTTCTTGTATAGCATTTTTGGTGGGAAGGAGGGAGGGTTTGGGGTTTTTGGTTTTTTTTGAACAACAGTTTTTTTCAGGGAAGGACACCATAACCCACTCTAAGTTGCAACATTACTTTCCATAAGTTATTCCATTACAATAAGTAGACTGTGTCGCGCTGTAGAATCCAGTTTTTTTGTGTGAATATACATTTGGGGCAAGCTACTGTGGAACAGAAGAAAGAGGTTTAGAAGTTGAGCATGGTTGGCTTCAGCCTTAAATAGTTGTTCCTTTCTGAAGACCACTTTTTGGGATCTGAGTGTGTACTGTTCTTCATCAGTTTTTAGATCATACATTTCACTTTCTAGACAGTTTTTCTATAACTGCATGTTGAAACTGTAGTCTGAAAGTAATCTGGATTCACCTCTTCACGTTTTCAGCAGAGACAAATATTCTGCAGGGAATTTGCAGACTCAGCATCACCTGTGCTGTTCCACTTCCTTCACCACATGTACATGGTTTCACTTTATTTGTCCTCTCACTGAAATCTAGCGATACATTTGTCAATAAAGTAAGAAAGGGAAGGATTCCATTCATATTCTCTCAAAGGCTTGTCTTCCTCTGAAGTTTACTTTAGCTGGAGTTTTGTCCACACAAAAAGCATTTTATTCAAGTGTTCCCAGTTCAGTCACCTGACCTGCCAGAAGGTAGACTGCTGTTCTAGTTAGTTCATCTAAAAACTTTTAACTTCAGTGTTATTATACAATGTGCTATCTTTTTGAACCTGAGAATTAACAAGAGCCGATGCTTCCATATAGTTTAAACTGTGTTATGTTTGCAGGACTGATACTCTTCATTATACAATTATTTTTTAAATCTGCATGGTAAACAGATGGAACTCTGAATATCTGGTGTTACCATATTAAACCAAAGTGATTCCTCCAATTTCCCTGGAGTCAGACTAATATATCTGGAGTAGCACAGTGGCAGCTAAGCATCTAGGGAGAGGATTTGTTGAGAAACCAGTTGTCATTCTCACGGTAACTTTTAAAAGTAGAATTGCACTGTAGAATTCATACTGAACATAGAATTTATTTTAACCAAAAAGAAACAACTGACTAAATTTATCTGGCTCCAACCAGGGGCTGTTTGTGTAATTGCGAGTTGTTTGTACAATTGTGAAATAGTCTTATTAAATATCTTCAGAATCAACACAATCTAAATGGAGTATTTACAACTCTTTCTATATTACCTGAAAATATCAATAATAGAAATATAAAGGAGATCATTATAATATAGTTATGTCTAATCATAAAACAGGACCTAGATTCAGAGTTACTGCAATTACAATTGTATAGGAAAACATGGATCTTCTGTTTAAAACAAGAGCTTAAGAAGTAATTTTAAACACTGTGTTCTTTTATTTTACTCTATTACTGTCCTTGGGCCATCTTGTTTCTTATGCGGGGAGTGGTGGAATCAAATTGCTTGTATCAGATTCTGACCATCAGCTACTGCCCTTCTGCTTAAATGTACTTATATAGAATATGGAGGAATGTTGCTGAAAATATGTATAACCTCTGTCTTAGATCCCAGGAGCTTGCCCATTATATCTCTGTATTTTGCATTCTTGTTAACTTCTGTAGCTCATAGACTCTGTGCTCTCTCTGCAGGTCCAGTCTAGGTGCAGCAGCAAAGAGAACATCCTCAGAGCAAGTAAGTACTGAAGCTTCACAGCTCTATTGAGAAACTAAGACTGCTCAGAAGACAGGAAAGGAATTAAGTCAGTTAGAAATTATTTGTGCTTAACAATTTCACAGCGCTTGCTTTTATCATCATGTCATCTTCTAAATACATACAAAGAGATTGTTCAAGTAATTTCTTCTAGGTGGTCAGTTTTATTTGTCTGTACTTTGTCTTCAATATAGTTACTGCGTTAACTGCAAAAAATTAATCAATGAACAGTCTTCCACACAGAAAAACAAGCATGTGTCAGGGCTAAAAGTTTTGTATATACAGATTGATTAAGTGACCTTCTCTTATGAAGGAATAACTTGGATTGCATGATTGTTTACTATTTTTTGTATTCTTTTTAATTAGAAGACTACAGTTAAAGCAATAATTATTTTTTTTCCAGAATGTGAAGGCACTTTCAGCAGTAAATTGGATATTTAGGTAGCTACTGCAAAGCAAAATCATGTCACTAAAAATTAGTTTCTGTTATTTGTTAATGCTATCTTATTATAATTTATATTGCTTTAGCAATATTGTTATGTATTACATAGAGAAAATCATCCACTTTATAAATACCTTCTTGTTCTAGGCAAATCCAATCAAGATAATTCTACAAATGTCATTTTCTTAATCTTTTGGGGTTTATCTGTTGCTCTTGTTTATGTATTCCTGCAATAGTTCCCTCTCTTCATTTGCTTATCTTCACTTTCAAAATCCTTTAAAGTTTGTTGTCCCCTCGTTTATTCTCTCAGTAAGTATCAAGAAATTAAACATGCTACTGACTTAATTTTCGAACAACTTTTGTCATATTTTCTCCAAACCTGCCCCTCACACCTGGGAAATGTAAGCTTAATCTATCCTGCTACCTTCACTCAAACTCTACATTTAATTGTCATTTTTACGTGGTGACTACAAAAGCTTGACAATGGGTAGGATGCCCACTAGCTGGAAACACTGTCTGCTGTCCTGGCTGTCTGCTGATTTCGTTATGCTTCCCTCTATCCTCCTTTCAAACCTTTTGACTCCCATCATGCTCATGGATTGCAAACCCACTGGGACAGTGTCCATTTTGATGTTTTATCTGTGTGCTGCACATAGCCTATTGAGATGTGTTTGTGGAGAGCAGAACAGGAAGTGAATCATCTGGGATTCATAGTTCATAGAACTAAGCCTCAGATTATCATCTTCATTATAAAACACTGCATCATCTTGAAGGGTTTCTGCTTATCAGGACTTCTGAGTTTTTTCATGAAAAGGAAGGATATGCACTTTTGTGAACTTTTTCAACTGCTGATTGCATTTTGCTTTAAATCTCTCTTTTGATTCTAGTTGAATATGGTGCCTTCCCGGTGTCTGACATAAATGCTCAATAGTGATAATCAACTAATTTAATTTACCCCAAAGTGCACGATTAATTGCAGTAAAGTGGTTTAAATTATCATCACTGTGTACATTTACGCATTGTAGCATAGATAAACTTGGTGCTCTCTTGTTGCAGGTCACAGTGCAGTTGACATTACCAAGGTAGCAAGAAGACACCGCATGTCTCCATTCCCATTGACATCTATGGACAAGGCCTTCATCACAGTTCTGGAGATGACCCCAGTGCTTGGAACAGAAATCATCAATTACAGAGGTATTTTAAGTTGAATGCATTGTGAGAATTTCTTTATTTTACAACCTTCTTGAGCACTTGCTCTTTTATTCATGTTGTGAGGGGGCTGAGACAGTACCTTCTGCATGAGAAACTGGTTTATGATAGGCCAGTAATAGGAGCAGAGGTCTCCTTTCAAAGCCAGGAAAATGTTCACTGAGCTCAGTACCACTCCCTGAAGGGATCTGTAATGGAACTTTAATTAAATATATAAATTAGTTCTCTCTGGGTCTGTGTTATATGCAACAAAGCTAAAACATAGAAACCATAATTTGCTTCAGTGGTTAACACTGAACTTTTGTGGATGCCAGGTAGCTTCAAAGTCTGCTGGGATGGTTCCCGCTGTTCTCTTACTGTGTGAGATTCCCACTAACCTGCTTTTAGTCTGAGATTAATGACAAAATCAAAGTGATTGTTGATTCCTGGTCACGTGTCTATATCTTTAACAGTTCATCTCAGTTTGTTTATCCAGATCCTACTTGCCTACTAGTCATTCCAGAATTTGCCTCTTCTCATAAAGGCAGCATAATTTCCCTCCTACTTGCATTTAATGTTTGATTTATTGAAACCTATAATGAAGGGTAGCTGGTAGGGATTTATATAGTGAGGTTGTCTTTAAAGGCACCAAACAGCAAGCAAAATGGTAGACCTTGTGATTGTGTCTGTATTAGTAAATAAATGAGCGTAAGTGAAAGCATTTTCCAGCTTTAAAAGGAGTTAGTAGGACACCTCTCATATTTATTTAGCTAAACTATCTTCCCTTCTGAAATAATGTGTTCGTAATGCCTGTTAGGTTTCTCCATTGCTTCTAGTATCCCTTACTCCAAGCCTGGATATTATCTGAGAGAGTGTTCTTGGCACAGAACAAAACAGTGACAGGAAGCATGCTGATAGTAATCCTAAAGTAGGTAGGGAAGAGGAAGCCTCCTCCAGGGATTCCTCCAGATTTTCCGCAGGTAAGGTGGTGAGCAAAGAGATAGTGAAACCACAAGCCACAAGAGGCAAAATGCTTAGGTGGTGAGACTTGACAGCAGAGAGGTACAAATGGTTTCTGAATGGGATACTCTGACATCTGACTTGAAAGCTCGAAGTTTTCCTGCTGTTCACCAAATCTCGGTGCTGCCACACATTGTGATTTTATTCTTGATTAAATTAAGGCATGCTGTTAGTCTCTCCATTCTATTGCCTTCTAACATAAGTGGAGGGATGAGTGAAGTTGTCTTTTGCAACATGACTTGTACTTTGGTAAGTATATTGCTCACTACCTCTGTAGATCATTTAGTCTCTTCCATATTAAAAAAAAAAAGAGAGAGAAAAAAAAAAAGAAAAGAGAAAAAAAGCACAAAAAAGCCTAAAACATTTTACCATGAACAAAAGGCATCTGAAGCGTATTTCCCACCTGCCAATATCAATATTTGGTATGAAGCCCCCAATGAGACTTTTATTCCAGCTGAATACAGTCACCTGAACATTGCTTTGTAGATATATAAGGTTAAGTTTTTAGACATCATGATAATGATTATTCTTCTGAAACTAAGAAGAGGCAGAAGTTTGATGCTAAAAGTACAAAGCAGAGGCAATCCACACTTTACAGGCTTAAGCCTCAGAACAGAGTTTTCTGATCTAGTGCAAAAGCCTTTTAACTTCTGTAGAGTTTGGACATTTTTTTCCACTGCTTATTCATTTTGAACTAACTCATTATTTTGGTAGCATTGCCTTTTCATAACACACTGAAGTGCTACCAGGGCAATATTACAAAATGAGAGCTTATCCATCACCTCTAGTAATATACCTGTCTCACTGCTTTATCCCACTACCAACACACTGAGAAATCAGAATTCTTCACAGAACTGCACCAGTTTCACCAGCTCAGCTTTAGAAAATGCCCAAATTTGAAAAGTGAGTTTAGTGTAATTCTCTATTTTGTTTTAGAATACATACACTAGGAACATCACAAGCAGCAGTTTGATGACATGAAAATATTTCAGAACATCTTTTTTAAATTACAGTTAATCAAAATAAGGTCTGATAATTTCTTTCTAAAATTATTGCTCCAATAAAGGAGAGTACAGAACTACTTCATATGGTACTTTGGTTGCTGACTTGCTTAATTTTAAATGCCTACGGCTTCAGCGAATAATTCTTACATTTTTCTCCCCAAAATTAAATTAATTCCTGCTACTGGCTGGCCATTTATTCCCTTCAGATATTGCATGGCACAATGCCAGGAACACACTGTTCAACTTTGCTCTAATTGGTGTGGTTTTGCATGCAGACAAAAAGTAAAATGAAGACAAAACATGCCTGCTAAAATTGAGAGCATCAGTTTTGCCTGACATTTTGTGTGTCTGTGAACAAAGGGTGTTTTTACTAGGCTTTTGATTGCTGCCTCTTCTATGCTATAATTTAAATGTCTGCATCTGCATTCTTTTTTAGTGCAAGTGTACAAGCTTTCGTGAGCTTTCTAGTAACTTAACTATATTGTGTATCACAGACAATGATACATAGTGATGCACAGACATCATAGCCATCACAAAGGTGCTTTTCTAGTTGCTTTAACACATTTTATCAGTATTTTCATGGCAGTACCTGTTTCAAAAATGCAACATAAATATTCACCTCAGGCTGAAAGTTGATACATATGGATATAAGCACAATGATGTTACAGTTACTATAATTATAATTAATTATGAACTACATCACTTTGTGTTAATAAGTAAAATATAATCTCCATTATAATACCACTTCACTGGAGCTAAACATTTTCTAATCAAGTAGGTACACTTTTTAACAAACCTATCCATTTAGTGTGCAACATGAGGCCTTCTGCCTTCCCAGCAAACCAGAACCACATTGATTTCCCCATCTATAAAACAAGAAACACACTTTATGTACATCTCTCTTTTTGGCTTGTCTGAAAAATCATGATCTATGAAGTAATATCCACACAAATTCTCCTGGCAGAAGTATTCATGCATCCTCTCATTCCTTTATACTTCCAGCTGGATACTGCTTTCCTGTGCCACAACAGTGGTCTCTGTTAGGAGATGAGCTTCCATTCTTCTACTTTAGGCATAATGGAAACAAGTCAGTCTCAGTAGTTCTGACCTATGTGCTCTTTCCCAGTCTTTCTAATCACACATGTAATAAATTTTTCTCACTCTCCCACTGTATGAAGGGCTAAGATACATATTTTCCACTCCGTTCTACCTCATACTAAAAAAAAAAAGCACTCACTGGCTTTATAGAAGCAAATGTGTAGTGCACACTTGACTGAGAGTGAAGTAATTCATATCACTCCTCCTCCAGGGAGGCAGAGCCAAATTGCAACTCATCAGTCATAGTTGCTAAGTGAAGGGAAAGAATATGTTTGAAACAGCTATTAAAATATTTAGAACTATAACAGCGTAAATTTACATAAATAATCCTGACACTTATGTGCACTCACCCTCCATTAAGCAGAAATGCTCTCAGCAATTAGGCAAAGCTAATCTATTGCAAAACATCTTTATCAATTTATGGAAACTTATCCATCATTAATGTTTATGTTGAGTCCTCTGGGCTCATTCCATCACCTCTCACCTTTTGCACATAGGATTCACCTCTGAAGTGTTTTTTTTAAAGCTTTAAAAAAAAAAAAAAAAAAAAAAAAAGACCCTTTTTTAATATATATACAGAAAAATGTCTTTTTAAGAGATATCTGGAGAAGAACTTGTCCTTAAGGAAAAAATACTTGGTTTTCTCTCTTAATGCGTATCAGAGCTGTTACCTCTGGGTTGAATACTTGGCCTTCACATCTCCTGTCAACAATTTCATCATAACCAGGAACACAGACTTACTGAACAAATCTTTCATCAGTACTTTCAGACTCCAGTCTTTTTTCATTTATGTAGAGGCAGAAATCAAAAACCCAAGAGACCTATTCCTGTCACATACACAAACTTTTCACCCAGCAGAGCACACTGCTTTTTTTTCTCTTTCTGTAGATTTTAGTGACATGGAGAATGGTCTTTTCTCTTTTCCAGATGGAATGGGCCGAGTCCTTGCTCAAGATGTATATGCAAAAGATAACCTACCGCCATTTCCAGCATCAGTAAAAGACGGCTACGCTGTCAGAGGTAAACACTCACTTTGTAGACATGCAGTACAGTGTCTGTCACTTTATAACATGTTAGTTTGCCTATTTTGGATCCAGCAATGGTTATTTTGGTTGTGATCAGATTCAGATCCTGCTGAGGTCACAGTTATGTAGAATGCAGCTGTCTTGAAGGAAGGCCATAAAGCTGAGGTCAGATCTTTTAAGTTGATACTTACATACTTGAACAAGCGTACATCCATGTGTGCTCTTAGACCTGCACCTGTGCTGCTAGTGAGTTTCTTGGAAACATAAAAAATTCAGGAGAGTAACATAACATCTGTTTCTGAATGACAGATTCTTCTGTTCCTCTGTAGTTGATTTAATCAAGAATTTCTTATGTATCTGTTACTTTGTTGAACTGTCACAGATCCAGCCTCCGATTTGTGAATTACTTTATGATTGCATTAGAGAATTTTCAAAACTACAAATCAGAATGTACACTTATGGAGGCATCTGAAAAGAAAAACCCAGTTTTACTTTGAAAATGTTGCAGTTGCTGTATATAAATAAAATGAGTTATGTGACTTTACAGAGGAAGGAGTGAGTGGTTTCTCAGGAGACCCGAATCCATCCTCTGCATTGCCACAAGGTGCTGCATGATTTTGAGCTAGTTGCTTCTCTCTGCATCAGTTTTTCCCTTTCTAAAGTAAGACTAATGGTCTACAGAGAAAAATTAAAATATATATTATTTAGCATTATGCTAGTAGTGATTTCATTGTGATAGGAGCTGAATCATAGTTAACACCATGTTGAAATTTGGACACAGTAGCCACCTTTCATCTAGGGACATTAAAATATTTTTTGTTACTGGCAGCTGAAACAATTGAAAGCAACTGTCCACGAAATAATGTCTGCAAACCCAAGAGGTGGATGTAGGCCAGTAGCTTCCCCAGGGACTTGACAGAGAAATAAAATTCCAGGTATACAAGATGAGTTTGACTGCAGCTGTCTGTCATCTATGTGTGTGAGAGACAGGCAGAACAAAACAACCAGTAATAGCGGCAAGGGGGTGCAGCTGTAGCCAGAGAAACAGAGGTAGTATAATGCTGAGAAAAGTTGAGAGGGGGAGCTCTTAGTAGAATGCTGACTGACAAGGGCCTTGGGATCAAGCAAATACTGTTTTGCAGCCTGATTGCTACAAGGTAAGGGAAAGCACAGTACCTGTCTCAGTAAACGCTCCAAATCAATAGAATTATCATGAACACCATCTTTAACAGCTTCTGTCAGAACCAACACATAAGACCCTAATTTTGGTGGTAGATTCAGAGTAACAGTCCAGAGGAGGGCAGCAAACCTGGTGAAGGGGCTGGAAGGCATGTCCTTTGAGGAGTGGCTGAGGACTCTGGCTTTATCTGTCTTGAAGAAAAGGATCTCACGGGATGACCTCATGGCTCTCTACAGCTTCCTGAGGAAGGGAAGTGGAGAGGGAGATGTTCAGCTCTTCTTCCTGGTATCCAGTGACAGAACGTGTGGGAATGGTTTAAAGCTGTGCAAGGGATGGTTTCGACTGGCCATTAGGAAGTATTTCATTACTCAGAGTGTGATCCAACACTGGAACAGGCTTCCTAGAGAGGTGATTGATGTCCCAGGCCTGTCAGAGGCATTTGGATGATGCCCTCAATAACATGCTTTAACTTTTGGTCAGCCCTGAATTGGACTTGATGATCACCGTAAGTCCCTTTCAACTGAAATAGTCTGCGCTGTTCTACTCTCGTTGTTGTAGACCTGTTATCTCAGAATATGAAAAGGAAAGCTTGTAGGCAGAAATAATCTGGCTACATTGATGGATATTTTTTACAAAAAAATAAGGAATTAGCTTTCAGTCACATAAACCTGTCTGCCCAAAACCTTGTCCACTTTTTTGAAGCTGTATCAGCTGTGTATCACCTATAAATTTGATGTCCATATCATTATTAATGGGGGAACGAAATCTAATTCAGTAGCACTTCATCAGGTTTAAAATAATTTAGAGGATTTTTCTCTTCTTTTGCTGGATCATCCCACTGCTTTTTTTTTTTTTCAGTGAAGATTTGACAACAGTATTCAGGAGTATTATATGCATTATTCAGAGAAACTAGTTGAGGAGTCCTTTTCCACTTCTGTATTTTAGAGTTTGTTCTAAAGCTCAAAGATTAGGCTGTTTGATAGCCATTTAAAGGTAAGTTAATCATTAGTCTTCAAACATGGCTAAGTACCATAGATCATCATCTGCAAAGTTGCAGCTGATGTATGAGTACCAATGTGATAAATCATTACACAGACTGAATGGGCTTCCTTCCTGAAAGCAACTCTCATTACGACAAAGTTATCTAGTTGTACCTTCCTGGTGTTTGAAATAAAGCAGAAGTTATTAAGATAAAGGATGTCACTGAGTAGACTTCATCTCTGGGAAATCGACTTTTGATGGTTACAGACTTAAAATTAATAAAAAGAGATATTTAAATATGATTGTGTGAACCCAGTTTGTCTGAACATTGTTGACAATATGCCTGCTGTGCTTGGACAGGCAGAGTTGCTTGTGCTCTGTATGTGTTTTACACCATGGTAGAGCCACTGATACCACTAATGCAACTCGCTGAAAGACCCTTGAGGCAGGGAGGAGCTTAAACTGTTAGTAATAGTGCCTTTGTTGTCCCTGCAAAAACACAAATTTGGCAAAATTAGAAATCCTGGAGACTTAAAGCTTGTTAAATCAATCATCTCTGACTTTTAATTTTCAGACTGGATTCAGTGGAAAGTATAAGGTAACTTGTTCATTGGCACCTCCTAAAACTACAAAAAGGAACAGAACCCAGACTTATAATGTGGCAAGTCCAAGTTGTATTATCTTAGCCCTGGTACTCTTCAGAAAATGCCAAACCCGTCTGGTCATCTACACAGTCTGTAACCACTGCACTTGTCCTCTTCCATAACCCTTGTCATGCTGACACTGTAGAACTGAATTTTAGGTCATTCTTTGATTCTCCTGTGCTTGATTTCTAATGCCATCATTTGTTTTGCTTCAGCCTTTACCTTTTTATTGTCCATCCCAACAGCTGCTGATGGCCCAGGGGACCGATTCATCATAGGGGAATCCCAGGCTGGTGAGCAAGTGAGCACAGTTTATTTTCTCTTTCCTCTTTTTTTTTTTTTTTAATGTATTTTTCTTTTGTAAGATATTGCTTTGTATTTTTACAAGCCTTGCTAGTGCTACAAAACTCAATATTCTTGGATGTGGCACAGCAGTACTATAGCTTCCTGCTATGTGCCTCAGAACATGATTTCAGAAAGTGATGTCATATAATTACATAAAGGAACTAACAAGGATATCCCAAATGCTTTAGAGCATTGTGCTGACATCCTCAAGGAGTCCATACAGTAATATTCTCCCCTAGTCAGTGCAAGGAGTGCATACAGTAATGTTCTCCCCTTATACAATGTTAGAGGACATAAGGTTTCTGGTGGGATTACAATCCACAGACAGAGAAAAGCAGGATTTAACTGCTTCATACTGACAGATTTTAAGAGGGATGTCAGCCCAATAACTATTTTCACAAGCTCCTTATGTGTTTCACACTGATATCTGCAAAACAAATTTTAATAATTTTGTGTGAAGCCTTTAAAGGTTAATGGTCAGAACAATCTTGAGAAAGCCTGGGAGCATCCAGGAAAGCATGAGTTAATCCAAAATGTTTCTCCAGCTATTTCAAGTCCCAGTTTATAATTTTGCATATTGAATGTGAAATTATGCAGAAATGGAACATGTAACAGGCAAACCAAAGGATTTTACTGTGTGGCCATTTTATTTTGAAAAGTCTTGAATAAATACATGCATTCAAAAGTTGTTTCAGGTTTTAAAACTATTACCAATTGCAGGATAGTTCCATTTTTTTAAAAATGAAGTTCAACTGCCTCTAAATGTATAATAGACATGTAATTTGGTTAATCATGATAGATACAGAGAACTATGAAAATAATACTTGCTGTAGTTCCCATCCATCATTATGACTTATACTTTGGTATAATAGACATCTTCTCAATACTGATATTCACATAAAGTTAGGTTAATGAATCTGTTATACAAAATCTGTAAAATTGCTTTAAATACTAACAAAAGTAACCTAATTAATTTCAGCTGCCTTGGGTTTTTAGCCCTTCTGTCTGCATTTTCAGGCATTGGTCTAGAATCCAAAAGACTGTCAATCATTTCTACAACTCTTCTTATGGTCACTATAAAATAGCAAAAACCAGCAGAGCAGCCTGATTAATTATCACTCCTATCATTATTCACCTGTCAACAATATTACCGTTCTGCTAGTTAAACAATATCACAGCGCAGTGGTGCTTAAAAACAGCACTGTTGAAGCTGTATCTAATGGGAAGACTGCCCAGAGGTCTAAAGGGTTTCAGTGTCCTAATCAGTTCAGCATGTTTTTTAGGGATAAAAGGGCAAATGGCAGCTTGTTTCCCTCCTACAAAATTCAAGAGCTCACAAATGTCTCTCTGCAGGGACAGTCTGTTCTCCCAGATTAATGGGAATGGGAAACCTCTCTGGCAAGAAACAAAAATTGGGTGGGAGGAGGCAGAAAGAGAGAGGGGGAATTATTCTGGAAATACCAGTGCCAAGTTAGAAAAATGAGACTGTTGACCTCTGAATAATTGGTCTAAGATTTTTCCTTGTGCCAACACATCTTCAGGTTCATCTCCCTCACAAGAAATTATTTATAGCCTTGGAAGGCTCCTCAGTCTCATTTCACCCTTCAGTCACTCTCAGCAGCAAAATTCTGCTTTTCATGTTACAGACCAATTAACAGAATGATTCACAGCAGGGAGTTCAAAATAGGTTTAGATTTGGCTTCTCATGTAGGGGAAAAGGTTATGTAAATTTTAGGTAGAGTGGAAGAAAATGGGACTGAGAGTTGCAGAGAGGCCTTGTAGCCAAGTTGGACATTTCTGTATCAATTTGTAAATTGTGTATTAGTTTCTAATTTCCATTTCCAGATGGTCATTTTAACAACCAATTTTTTCTTTTGTATTGAGGAATGATTTCAGACACTGTCCTGCTTTGGGGAGATTAGGACATATTTCAGAGTACTAGCCATGTGCCATCCATGTGGCCTCTGTGTGAAAAACTCAACCACAGGGAGCAATTATTTTCTTCCTGTAGACTTGCATAGCTGGAGCTTAGCATTTCCTGGAAGACTTTCTGAAGTCATTTGTAAGAGGCACTGTGAGTAACCAGCTATAATATGGGATGGGAAACAACCATTTTTCACCTTTCCATTAACTCAGACCTTTTTACAGGAAGAAGCCTGGGTCATTGTAACTCATACAGGAGACGTGTAATCACTAGCAAGAGAAAGTGCCTGAGATGGGAGCTGTGCTTCATAGATTATTTTTATTCAGTGACTAACATTAAATAAATTAACAGTTATGAAGGCAAAGGACAGAACTCCATACTGCCCTGTTCTAATTAAATGTGAGATCTCAAAGGCCTTCTGTGAAAGTGTTGAACAATAATATGCTTTCTGAGAAGGAGTAATTTCTTTATCTTCATGGTCTAGCACAGAAGAGCACAGCCCTGGAGATTCACACACCAATCTGATGCTTGTCTTTTCTTCATAAAGTTAATCTGATCAAATTCTCGAAGGGCAAAAAGATATTAAATATGTGAACAACCAAGTCTAAAAGCAATTGCTATTGTATCATGAATTTGTTTAAATGTTTCAAGTCATTACACCTCAAAAAATTAACTCACCTAGTAATAAACTGCAAAACCATGGGTGCATTTTATCACCATAGGCACTGAGTTCTGGCAGGTTCCTTTTAAATTGCAAATGGGAAAACTGTTTTATGCAGTACATATTTCTTCTAAAAATTGTCACTAAAGTTGTCAGGACTTTAATAAGTTCAAAGCAATATCACCTTTTTGTAATGTGCCTATAGACAGACTTATCAACAACAGTATGCATCAGAGGTCACATAATCCAAGGCATAAGATTTGTCTTTTGCAGTTTTTTTCCTAAAAGTCAAAATAACACACTAGACAAGATTATTTTCACTTTTAAGCATCTTCAGGATAAGTGGCAGCATCTCAGATATTCATCCACAGCTCCTTGCAGATGTGTGCAATAAATAACCTTTTTTTTTTTTTGAGAATTATTTTTATGTCATCTCTTTTAGATACCTACTTTAGGATAACATGAATCTTGACCTAAAAGCACATTACCCATGACATACAGCAAGTGTCATTTTGGGGGGATTTTGTTTGGTTTGGGTTTTTTTAAGTTTAGTTTAGCGCTTTATTTATGTTCTTCTCAAGGGACGCTAGATTTCCATGACCCTTGAAAAGGGTCAGGATTCAATCAGTTCCAGACTCAGAGCTTTCTTGGGATACACAGGTCACTGTGATACTGTGGTAAAGCAGGTACAAACCCTTTCCAGCCTCTTCATAGGCCATCTGTCCCAATGAGCAACCTCTGAAATACACACATTTCAAATAGTCACTTTTCAGAATTTATGACAGTGCTGAAATGGAGCAGAAGAAAGGACAAGCACGAGCTTTGTGTACTGAAAACATTGGCCACTGGTCTAGAATTTGGAGATGTCTTAAAAACAGTCTCCTGTCAAAAGTTGTGGAGAATGTGACTGCTGGGCAGGAGCAAGGGCCAGTGCTTGGGCAGGGCTGCTTGCAGCTCTGTGTGGTGCTACCAAAGACATGCTGATCGCGGTCTGAGAAATCCCTGACATACTCCAATGCTGCACATATGGAATATAGAGACAATCTGCACATGAATTATACGTGGGGCGCAGAATATGTTGGTCTGATGCCAACTGTATGTGGCACATGTGCACTAGTAACAGTAAAGCCTAAATAAGATGGGCTTACTGGAATGCTGTGGGGAGCAAGCACTCGTATTTCAGCCAGGAAATCTCAATCCTCATACCAGCTTCTTTTAGTTGCATTTTTTTAAAACATTTTTTTTCTTTTGGTTATTCATTTCTTAAGTGGTTATAGTCAAATTACAATTTGACTCTGGGTTTTGATAAACATGTATTACAGTAGCAGTAGGCTGCCTGGTGAGAAATTTTATTAGAAATGTGTCATTTATTTTATTATATTGTTCTGAGATTTTTTCTCTTCTTTCCATTGCTTCTGCTGAAACTTTATCCTGTACCATACTTTACATAATTGTATTATATCCATTTTAGGCTTTGCTAGACTGACCTTCAAAAATACAGATACTTTTGTGTGAACTGGTGTTGAGCTGTCTCTCAGTATGAGGAAATCTGTTTAAAAACAAAGCAGCAAAGCAGCTGGTTACATTACTCACAAGCTATTTGTTTTCCATATGTAGCGTGCTGGTAAAACAAAATAGAAAAAAAAAAGGGAAAAAAAGGAACAGAAACCAAAGGAAGGAAATTTCAATCCTGGGGAACAAAGCACTCTGCAAAAATATGTATAGAGAAGTACTTGATTTTTGCTCATGTAAGTTTGTAGAAGATGACCAGTCGAATTATGTTCCTGAGGCAGCCAATATCAATATATTGCTTCTTCTGAAACTTGCTCTTGTGATAGAAATCCAAAGGGGAAGATTTGAAGCCACTTAATATGTGACCATAAAAAAAGCCAGATCTAAAGCAATGACCTGATGATCTTTAAATACGTTGGAGTTTATACCTGTTGGTATAAGGCATTTTAGCCTTTCATATTATTTCCATAAAGTCCAAATGGTTTGAATGTTTTCTTTCCAACAGGAAATTAACTTTTGTTTGTTGTGTGTTTTTCAGCCAACTCAGACCGTGATGCCTGGTCAGGTCATGCGCGTTACAACTGGTGCTCCAATTCCATGTGGTGCTGATGCAGTGGTGCAAGTGGAAGATACGGAGCTCATCAGGGAATCAGATGATGTGAGTCACAAGTCAAAACTCCATTTCCTTTTGTGTACAGCAGAAAATGGCTCATGGTACAATCCTGTAAATATGAAAGACAGTCCTACAGAAAAGCTCTTCTGTTAATCTCAGAACTTTGAGGTTTGTCACATCAGTTCCTAGTGGCAGTTCTACTCACTTTTTCAAGCTGTGATAACAGTACCACAGACTGACCTGCCCTGACTTGGATTTTTCATCACGGTTGTTGAATAGCTGACACCAGAGTATTTGGGATCATGATTTGAGTGAGAGGCAAATTGCCTCCTGGAGATTCATAACTACAGTCCAATTTGAGTGCCTAGCATATTCCCATTTTAAAATAGAATAGTGGCAATCAGACATTATATATTTCTTTCTTTTCTACTGAGTTCACATTTAGCAGTAGCGCAATCTTCTTTATATTTCAGGATCATCCTGAAACTCAGCAAGACAAGGACTTCAAAAGTTCTCCTGAATTCACAGAGTAACAAAGGGGAAAGTTTTCTTAAAATACATATTGATCCCAGAATAATACATTGAAATATTATAGTACAGCATTACTGCTGATGCAATTAAAGCTGAATATGATTTTCTGTAGGAAAGTGAGTTAAGTGCTGCAAAATCTGTAGGATTACTTGAACTATTTTGAACTATGCTAGGAAGATGGTTCTGTATTATCAGAATTGGTCTCATTTCAGCAAATGTGAAAATGGTGGGTTTTGGAGAGTATGTCTTGTGCACATTGCCTTCCATTAAACACCTATGTTTAGAGTAAAGGTTTTTATTAAGTAACAGGAGAAGTAAGTGCCCCCTCCCCCTCCCCCCCCATTTTTTTAAACTATTACTATATTTCTTCAGTAGACCTCTGTGCTCCTTTAAAATGAGAAAATTACTGAATTTAAGACCTCAAAAAGCCAGGAAATTATGCATATTCCCCCAGAACATAGTCCTAGCTTTGTTTAGTTGGAACAGATTTTCCAGCACACCTATAAATCATATTAGCACTCTGCCTCACAGATGCTGCAGAATACCACAGGAAAAAAGATGTACACTGTAGAAGTAATTCTGTACCTGCAGTTATCTTAACAAAGTAAACTGTTTTTTAATGAAGCACAGGAGCTGTCTGTAGACAACTGTATCCCAGACAGTCTATCTTAGACTTCCTTTAGCCCTTCTGTCTGCATTTTCAGGCATTGGAAGTATTCCTTCTGAATCATTACCTTCACTTACCCAACTGTGATTTCAGGATGCCAACATCATGTTATCATCATCTGAGAGATTTTAATGCAAGAAGATAAGTCTCTTACTGACACAACTTCCAAGTTCAGTTTTGGAATTAAGTGTGTGCATGGCTGCCTGTTCAAATCAGCCTTTGCTCCTCTGCTCCTGTTCTGACAAGCTGTTCCACTTCACCATAGCTCTATGCTAGCATTGCTATTGTAGCTGGGCTGTGAGCAGATGAACTCTAGTGTTCAAAACTGATGAAGACAGCAAAAACTGAAACATAATTACAATATCATTTTTCGTGCCTTATTACTGTAAATGCACAGACTTTTACTTCTGATGAGGTCAAGCTGGGGAGGGACTTTGTACAAGGGCTTGTAGTGAGAGGACATGGGGTAATGGATCAAAACTGGAACAGGGGAGATTCAGGTTAGACATTAGGAAGAAATTCTTTACTGTGAGGGTGGTGAGGCACTGGAACAGGTTGCCCAGATGGCTTAGGCAGGCCTTCCTCCTGACAGGGAATTTATGGAGTCAGTGCTGCTTTAAGGTTACAGATGTGTATGTGTAGATGATATCTTCCCATGAAATACACCACTGCCTTCACTGCTAGTTAATTGTTCCATCAGCTTTACTGAGCAAGTTTACTGTGGCCATTGCCCACATGATTATGAGAGGACTATCACATTGCAGAGCAACATACATGACAACTAGGTATTTTCTGCTTCTTTGGGTGACTGTCTTCCTGGATTCCACTTTCCTGTGCATGTTCTCCTTTGCCTGTGAGAACAGATAATTTGGCTCTGTGCTTAAACTCTGAATGTTTTAGCAAATGGTCAGCCACCTTCAGCTTCCTTTTCCTGCCTTTAAGTGTGAGGTACTCTTCAGCTTCTAATTGTCCTTGAATATGCCACTCTGTTAATCCTGTACATAATTAGTATAGTTTAATTAATGTTTGGGGTCTGATTCTCTTTTTTTGTGCCTGAGTGGCTACATATTTCAAGAATATTTTCCTTTTATTGTGAAGAATTCCTTCAGAGCTGGGATTTAACTGGAAACATCTGAAAAACATTGTACTGAAAAGACGAGACAGTACTTTTAGAAGGAGCTCCTTGACCTTTAGTTGTGGTAGCTGTACTTAAATACCATAGCAAGCATTCCCCAAATGACTGCATAAGTCACAGGCCTGAAAGAAATTACATCTATCCAGCAGAAATAATTCTCATCAACTTGCCAAATGCAGAGTCATTGAGAAGGATCCTGGCAAAAACATGTCTCCACCCTTTCCATTTTGAGTTTTCGTGTAACCTTGTAGGAGGAAAAAGGAGGTTAATGTGATCAACCAAAACAAGGGTTAGATCCTACATCAAGAGCTAGCATCACTGTATCAGTATGGATGCTGGCTGTTATCAGCCATCAGAGTAAACCACTCAGAGCTCAAAATGTATTAAAGCACAGCAAAAGGAGTGCTGCCTGATACACACCCAGTGGAAGATGTTCTCAGCATAATGCCATACCTTCCTGCAAGCCTTATGTCTAGCCACCTGGAGTTATCTTGTATTCCTCAAGTGTTCTGGGATATCCGTCAGTTCCATAAATAAAAATCTCCACACATCAACACGTTGTCCATAGTTGTACTTTCCACAGTGCTTTTCAAACCAGGGAATACTAAATTACTCAAGAGCCTTTTTTTTGTTGGTTCCCCTATTTTCTATTACTCAGATGTGTTGTTGGCACTCCTCTTGATTCCCTAGCTATCTTTAAATATTATCAAAGATACAGACAATTCACATCTTCATGACTGGCCAACCATCCCCAGAGTGTCATAAAAATAAAATAATTCTTAGACTAATTCTTGTCCCAGTTTTTCATCACAAGCCTAAAATGCCTGTCACAGCTTCAGATAGGGTTAAGGGAGATAAAAGGACATCCTGGGCACCAGCACTTCCATGTGTTACCCCTCCCCTCTTCCCAGGCCCAAATCCCTTTGTTCCCGGTTTCTCTCCCTCCTTCCCCCCAGCAGCACAGGGGGACAGGGGATTGGGTTTAGAGCCAGTTCACAGGCGGGTGGTTCCTGCCGCTCCTTCCTCCTTAGGAAGAAGGATTCCTTACAGTCCTTCCCTGCTTCCCCATGGGGTCCCTCCCATGGCAGAGAGTCCTCCGCGAACCTCTTCTTCACGAGTCCTTCCCCCGAGGTCCGGAGCTGCTCCAGCCTGGGCTTCCCACAGAGTCACAGGTGCTTCAGGAACAAACTCCCCTGGCACTGGGGTCTTCCAAAGCTGTGCAATCAAAGTCCACAGGCAGCAAATCCACTGGCCACAACATCCCAGTCCAGTGGCCAAGGTCACCCATCCTGGCACCTTCAGGGAATGTTCCAACCCATTCCTCCATGAGTGCAGGGGACAGCTGCCATCACGCCATGGGTTGCAGGGAAGCTTCTGCTTGGGCACCTTCTTCCCCTTCTTCCTCACCAACCACCAGCACAGCTCTCCTCTCCAGCACAGCTCTTCTTTTTTTTTCTTTTAAATGCTCCTCTGCTCAGGTCTCACCTCAGTTCTTTCATACGTTAATCGCAGAGGCACATCTACTGTCCCTCTAATGGCTCCTTGGCTGGGTTTGGAGCAGGGGGAACTTCTCAGATTCTTACCAGAGCCACTCCTGAGGCCCTTCCCCCGCTACCAAAAAACACACCAAACCAGAACAATCATCAACCCCCTTCCAGGCTTAAAAACTAAACACTAGCAAAATACTAGCATGTGCCATTTATTGACATAGAGCGAATCACCAAACCATTGGAATTCTGAAGAGGTAAACACCGATATCAAAGTAAGCATGAGACTTTTCACGGTCTCTTGTTCCTAGTAAGTAAACATGATGAATAAGCCTCTTTTTGATTTTTACAAAGCTCTCAAGTAGGAGTTTCTACTACAGGAATCTACATGAAAATCCTGCAGCAGCTAGAGCATACAGCTTCTTCCCACCTTTCTGCAGAGGTAGTGGCATATTGTCTGCCAGACTAAGGTCTTTCTGAAATGCTGTCTTAGAAATTGTTTTAGCAGATTGAGTTGGCTGAGAGGAGTAGAAAGAGTGGGCTCAGTGTACGAGAACTACAGACACAGGATGTAACATAGAAAAGACACATAAAAACAGAGGTAATAAAAAAAGGAAGGTAAAACTATGTGTTCAGTGCTGGTCCTTCCCTGCATCATAAAGAAAATTTCTTACAAAGCTGTTAAGTTTTAGCACACGTTGTATTACAGTCTTGACATGCAAATCAGGAGAACAATGATGATGCTTAAACCAGAAGGTCTCAATGTAATAAGTAAGCTGTGTAGATTTCTGAGAAATGAGAGCTGATTAAACTTCCTTGAATCGCCTTGCTGATTGTACTTGATCTCCTTGTTTTTATAGGGCACTGAAGAACTAGAGGTTCGAATCCTGGTGCAGGCTCGACCAGGCCAAGATATCAGGTCTGTAAACAGCCTCCTTTATGGAGAGTAAAATACCTCTCTAAGGAGTAGAATTGATAGTGGTTTCTATAGTCATTTTTTTAACCATAAGTAGTGCTCATATTTTGACAATCCAACTAATTAACATGCCTGGACATTTCTCACGTGGAGCAGGACCAATCAAGGAAAGATACTTTCAATCTCATTCTGGTTTTCTTTCATATTTTTCTGTGCTTTGATTTTTCAGACCTATAGGACATGACATTAAAAGAGGTGAATGTGTGCTGGCTAAAGGAACCCACATGGGTCCGTCTGAGATTGGTCTCTTAGCAACTGTTGGAGTAACTGAAGTAGAAGTTAACAAGTTTCCAGTGGTTGCAGTCATGTCAACAGGGAATGAGGTAAGAAAAGTATCTTTAAAATCAAGGACTGAATTACTTTATCTTCTTTGGAAAAGTGTTTTGGATAGTGACTTTCACCCTATTTCCAAGTGTACTCACTTTTTGAGCTTCACCTCGTGCAGACATGAGACATTTTTGTGAGTGTTCAACCTGTCATCAGCTTCTTGTATTTTCTCCCTCAAAGGCTTTCACAAGCCTTTGGCTGTCTTTGCCAAATTTTTGGTACTCTATCCAATGCCAACTGCTTTTCTTCTGTCACCACGAGATGACCTGTAGAGTAGTCAGGATTGTAATTCATTCTGCCGTTCATGACTGGACGAGTGATTTCTTTGGAGAAGCATTCATCTGTAGCTATAGTGCAAATGGCAGATAACCTGTCTTTGAAAACTGCACAGTACTAGCAAATGCCTTCCTGTAGTATTGTCCCTGATTTTTCTTTTTTTGTAGTAGCACATGTTGAAATCCAGACAATCTCATGTTGATAGAACTCCAGACCAGATTTCTAATTGTTTTGTCTTAACTACATCAGAAAAATCAGGTTCAAGATTAATCTAATTCACTAATTTTGCATGCTTTGTGGGTTGACCCTGGCAGCAACTACACTCACTCGTTCCCTTCTGCAATGGGACAGAAAGAGAATAGGAAGAGCAAAACCAGAAGAATTTGTGGTTTGAGATACAGTCAGTTTGGAATTCAAAGATGGCATGAAATTTGACCTATGATTTTGACTGTGAGACAAACTTTTTGAAATCCAGACACAAACTAAATAGCTGTATTCTCATACAGCTTGAATATGTTGAATTTTGAAAGATTTTGAAAACATTTAATATGTTGACTCTTGTTGTCTGGTGTTGTCCTTACAACTTCTGTGAAGGTTACTCTGTGACTACTAGGTACTGTAGGTGGCTGAGGCCAGCCTTGCTGGGACAGCATTTTGCCAGATTTCATAACAGACAGGGTGAGCCATGCAGGAAACATACCCTCTAACTGAAAAACAAATACAAAGAGATACAAGCATTAGAGGGGATGATTTTCTGAATTATATATTTGACTGGAGGTTCTTGCATGTCATTAATGGGTCCTTTACTGATGTGGACACTCTCCTTTGCATCATGTGTTAGAAAAGGTCCTGCACAGTGGGTTTCTTAAGCATCCTATGGAAATCTTCACCGAAATAGGGCTCCTAGCAAAAGCATCAAAATTTAGCCATGCTCCACTTTTAGCTATTTTTACTTTATTACCTAATGCTACTGCCATAATTTTGACAGATACATTCTTGCTATTATTATTATTCACCTCCTTATTGTGTGTGAGTCCTGTAAATCCTACAAAAGAATTCCTAATATATGTAAAATTTCTGTTTACAAATGTATGCTTTGTATTTTAACTTCCAAAATATGTAACACATGTAAGGCAATTGCCATTATATTGTCTTGAGAGAAAGCTTTTGATCCCAGTTATTGATATAAGAATGAAACTTTAAGCTTCAATCTATTTCAGGACAGACTATTGTATTTTAAAAACAGCTTTTGTGGTAAGTAGATTATGAACTTCAAAATTTCTTTTAATATCTTTAAATCTGCTTAGCAACATCAGTGAGGTTCCTTTAAATCTGTTTAAATAGAAGCAAAAAACTTGGAAACTTTATGTTTCGATTTCTGATGTTTGAGATTATCAGCCAGGTACACATAAAGAGAAAGAAGGTTTTGCAGACATGAACCAACAGAAGCAAACTAAGCAACATGGAGGACTGGACTAAACAAGCTCATTATATATCTTATTAATTTAATTCACTAAATCACTTTACGTATATATTTTATCACAGTTTTCTAAGAGTCTTGTCCAGTCTGAAGAACAAAATTCTCACTTGTTTGAAGGCTCAGTATTCCAAGGTGACTAACTGAGAGTGTTTCTGGTTTTTTAGCTACTGAATCCTGAAGATGACCTCTTGCCAGGAAAGATTCGGGACAGTAACCGCTCAACCCTCCTAGCTACAATCCAAGAACATGGCTATCCAACAATCAACTTGGGAATTGTGGGAGATAAGTAAGTACCACATGTTAGTAAAGATGTCACTTCATATTCATGCGGTGCACTTTATGGCATGCATGGAAAAAAGAAATACCAGAGAAAATGTCACACATTGCAAGTGTCATAGTGTTATGACAGGGCACATCTTGGAGAGGATATTTTACCCTTTTCATTAGAGAAATAAATAAGTCTATTCTAATATTAAGAGAATAAGTGATTGAAGCATTCAGTCTATCTTCCTTTGCAAAACAGTGCAGTGCCTGTCATCCATGGCTTGACTCTCACAGCATAATGGCTTTTCTCAATTTATTGAGCCCCAAAGGCTTTGAGGAGGCTTTCTTGTTTCTGATTTTGGGTATCAAATCAACTGACAGACTTGGTTTGATAGGGAGTTGCTCAGGTTCGCCTCCATGTGTTTGAGAAAGAGAATATTCCTTATGGGCAGTTAAAAGTGAGGCCAGATCAGAAAATAAAAATTAAAAGAAATAGTGAACTTCAGCACCCACGTTTCACATTTATTGATGACAAAACTCCCAGGCAGGGAGACAGGGTTACAGCTAGGGAACGGCTCATTTCAAAATCAGTCAATTCAATACAGGATTCAGAATTCAATACAAAATATCACTAGTTTGACAGAAAGTACATGAATGGGCCAACCACTGTGTTGTTTTACACTGTGTGATGAACCAACATGGTGGCTTTGGGAAATCCAGATGTATTGGAAGTTTTCGTGGAGTGAATGTGATATTCAGCAGCTGTAGTGGTGGTCATGATCTTAGGGAAAGCAAACCCGTCTGGATATTCTCACTGCATCCAGGCACCCTTTTTGCTTCCCTGGCCTAGCAAAACTCCATTGCTATTCCAAACAGCAATAGATATCAAAAAACTCCTGCCTGTAGATGCTTCCAGTTTCAGGTGCAAACAGACCCTAAACTCATAGAATCATGGGATAATTTAGATTGGAATAGACCTTCAATATCATCAAGTCACATCATAAATCTAGCACTGCCAAGTCCACCACTAAACCATGTCCCCAAGCACCACATCTGCAAGTCTTTTTAATACCTCGAGCGATGATGACTCAACCACTTCCCTGGGCAGCCTGTTCCAGTGCCTGACAACCCTTTCAGTGAAGGAATTTTTCCTAATATCCAAACCTCCCCTGGCACAGCTTGAGGCCATTTCCTCTTGTCCCATTGCTTGTTACTTGGGAGAAGAGACCAACCTCCACCTCGCTACAACCTCCTTTCCAGTGGTTGTTGAGAACAATAAGGTCTCCCCTCAGCCTCCTTTTCTTCTGGCTGAACAACTCCAGTTCCCTCTGATGCTTCTCATAAGACTTGTGCTCTAGACCCTTCAGCAGCTTCATTGCTCTTTGGACACATTCCAGCACCTCTGTGTCTTTCTGTTAGTGAGATTTAAGGCCCAAGAGAATATTTTTTGCTTTTCTATATTTATTACAAATATGTTTTGTGACTCTTTTTTACTTGTTGGATGCTAGCTGAAAACCAGACAGCAAACACATGGATCAAAGATAGACAAGTGCCTGCAGCTTTGCTTTCAGTTATGTTCTGTGTTTCTTGAGATACCATTACCTAGGCAAAAAGAGTTCTTTTTAAACTTTTGGTTTCATGCTTGTGGAGTAATTTCTCCAGAATTAGGTAGTTCAGCTCATAGAACAGAAATAATGAGCCTCCAATCACAGAGTGATTTTCTGCTATGCAGTAAGTTCTGAAAGATTATTTCAGTACTGTTGACTTAGCCAAGAATCTTCCCCACCTGATACCAGCATTGTGACTTTGCAATTCTTCTGCCATTCTTCTCACATTCATATGCCCAATTCATGTATTTACTACAAAATGCATCTGGAGTTCTTTTTATTGTGTGAATTAGTTTATTAATAAGGATGGTGTTATTTTATTATGTAATGAAGCTACTAAGAGAATGTTGCCCATACAGATATTTCAGTTTATATCTTTTGGACTAACATAACTGATTTGATGGAGCACTGTGGCACTTGAACAAATGCAAGAGACTTACCAGAGATACCTTACAAAGTTTTGATGTTTTAGTTAGCATGTTTATAGGAAAGATAAACAAGCCTTCAGTGTCTGTTATATGGTTTGCTGGAGTTAAAACATAGATTATATGTGTTTGTCTGTGCTCATGTATGTGTGCAGTTTGTCTTTTGTGCAGTTGAGTATTAGTGTTGCTATTAACAGGTCAGGTTTTTTAACAAGCAAGGAAATTCTGTCAGTCATATTTCCAGAGCTAATACTCAAGCATGAATATTGGTTTAGAGTAGTATTTGCAAAGACAAACTTAGAGGTCAGTATTCCTGTATTTCAGCATATGAATTACTCAGAAGTGTTTAGGTAAGAAAATAGGTTGTCCAGCAAGTTACATTTTGAACTGGCCAGTCAAGTCTCACTTAGGCTGTATTTGTATTCTCAATTGAAACCAATAGTTTTCTTCTTTTTGGAGCATTTTAACAATTTCTGAGATTGTCATTGTTTCCATTCTCATACATAGTATATATGACTCAATATTCAAAATGAAAAACAGAAAGTCCAAAGCACATAGGTAAAATCTACAGTTGAAGTCCTTGAAGCAATAGCAGAAAAGAACAACCTGGAAAATGCGATACAGCTGAAGTTACCTCTCTCTAGAAGCCAAGAACTTCTCTGTTTCTGCTCTTAGCACATAAAAACCAAGCTGTTTAAAAAGCACACAACTCTGTGGAGAAATGGAAGACATTCCATTCCAGAGCTACTCCAAACACAAGAAACAAATACAAAACAAAAAAAAAAAAAAAGGAAGAGCCTTTCTGATATTGTTTATTGTTGTGTCTTACATCTTTGTCTGAATCACGGAATCACTTGCTGAAAAATTGCAAAAACAACTGGCCAGATAAAACTGGTATTGTCTTATATAATAAGAGCATTGTCTTATATAATAAGACCAAGTTTATTTAAAAATATTTATTAAAAATATTAAATAATTAATAATAAATATTTGAAATATTTAGTAACATTTCATTTCCTTTGCTTATGAAATTATGAAATTCTATGAAAGTCTATGAAATGACTTGACCATGGATAAAAACAAGAGTTACATCTCTGATCTTCTGAAGTTCTCATCTCTGATTTTAATTAACTTAATTATCAGGATAGTTTTGTGTCTGATTATTTTGTTCGTGTTGTTATTTGTATCCACTGTTTTTTTAAAGGTGTAAAGTTTAGCCCTAGCAAAATCTACTGTAGCATGGTCCTCTATTTTAGAAAGCCATCTTCCATTTTTAGAATTTTCCTTTTATGAGACACTCTCTTATTAAACTTGCTAAAGAATTTTTATCACATATGCAATGAATTAAATTTGCTCTGCTTTTATCTTTGTTTACATTAGTGCATTTTCCCCTTCTCTGCGTTCTTCACCCTATTTTCTAAATTCCCTTATAATTTTTCTCAAAGACTTGTATAACATTAGCTGCTTCCAGCTGCATTTTCTTTTATGAGCCTGTGATTTCACAATGTAGAGAGAAAGACTCTCTCTCCTTAGGAGAAAAATTTAGTGAATTCACATTACCTGCTCAGTTGCTTTAAGAATTTATCAGAATAGTTATAAAATAAGCAGCATGCGAGAGCTTTTCTACATTAGAAGTGATTTGTTTCTCAGTTATATACCTCTCTTTTATGACATATTGTTTGACGTAGAGCTCCCATGTGACAACTAAACCCATTAAAAATCACCCTTGCTGTGGCATACAGCATTACTGTATGATACCCCTAAAATAAAGGCTTTGAAAGAGTCCCTTCATATTTTGGAAGGGATACTAAGATCTCATTCAAGGATTAAGTCTGCTTGTATTTTATGTTTGCCATCCAAAAAGAGGTTTAAATCTTTTTTACTTGTGTGGGTTGCATGTAATTACCAGTATTATAATTCAGATGGAACATCTGGTGTGGAGGGAGAAGAGCAAAGAAACTGCTCTAACTCTAAAATTCATCACTCAGTATCAACTTGGCAAATATCATATGAGTTAGAATATGAGTTACAGGCAGAATTCAGCGACAGAATCCTAGCCTTTCCCTGCACCAGTTTGATGTCCAACTTGGGTACAATCAAATATACTGTGAACAGAACTAGTAGTAGTAGTGTGATTTAACAAACGACTGCAAGAAAAGGCTTGTTAGAGACAGGGCCTTAAACTGTCACAATATCAGGTTTTGCTAAAGTGATTTAGGTTCTAGATCTGCTCAAAGAATGATAATGCTATAAAGTGCGATCACAGCCTAATGAATACAGGAACACTGGGTCATGGTTTGAAGGTGATTCAGATGTAGAGGTCCTCTCTTTCATTCTACCCTGTCAAGACGAATATTCTCCTTTTCAAGCAGAAATGTTTAATATCTGTCACAACTCTTGATAAGCATTAGAGCAAAGTTCAGATAAGTTGTTATACATGACAAGTCATCTCATTTAATGCACTTACTCAAAAAACGCAAAGAAACATCTGGGCCAAAACAAGTGCAAAAAGAACTTGTGGAACAAGGCAGTACAAGTCCTAGGGGATCTTCTGTACCAGTAGAAACCTACATAGTGTGACAGGTAATAAAATGTCATGGTGACAAACACAAAGCAATGCACTCTGGGGAGAAATGGAAGACATTCCATTCCAGAGCTACCCCAAACACAAGCAACAAAAACAAAACAAAAAAAAAAAAAAAGGAAGAGCCTTTCTGATATTGTTTATTGTTGTGTCTTACATCTTTGTCTGAATCACGGAATCACTTGCTGAAAAATTGCAAAAACAACTGGCCAGATAAAACTGGTATTGTCTTATATAATAAGAGCATTGTCTTATATAATAAGACCAAGTTTATTTAAAAATATTTATTAAAAATATTAAATAATTAATAATAAATATTTGAAATATTTAGTAACATTTCATTTCCTTTGCTTATGAAATTATGAAATTCTATGAAAGTCTATGAAATGACTTGACCATGGATAAA